TTCGATCGGAAATCGCAGTGTCTCCCTTTAGTTCAAGAAATCGCTTTTTGCCCTAATGAATTTCGATTAAGCGAGGTGAATAGGCTTGTTTTGTAAATTTCAAATTTTAAAAACTTTCATTATTTTATTCGGCCTACATTTGTTTTAATCTTTTCATTTTAGCCCATTTTACATGTTTAATTAATCCTAACTATGCCACGTCATCTTCTCTAAATTAAAAAAAAAAATGAAAAACATTTTCAAGGCCATTTTCTTAAATCAAAACTTGAGATGGCTGGGCAGCTAAATTATAGAAAAAGTCATAGATAATTTTAGAATCATATGGCTGTTTTTAAGATTACAACAAAAAGTCTAGGTAGACAAGAGATAGTTGTATATCTTTTTGTGATTTTTCTGTTGGAGAGCAAGATTCAAAGTTCGATGGTAAGAGATATTTCTAGTTAGGTTCTTCATTTCAACTCTTTACTAGAAGTAACAAATGGTGGCATGCAGACGCAGAAACTGTATTAATCACATGTAAACATGATTGTAGTATGCCACCATTACTTCACTGGGAAGATGAAGTTCCTTGTAACATTTGTAATCAATATTTAACCTTCCAAACTTAAAAACTGCATATTTTTTTGGCCAGTTGAATCATATGTAAGTACGCTATCTTGCGCATTTGTGGCTCTAAAAGTTCTATTTTTAGTGTATAAATATAATCCTTCTATTTTTTGTTTCATAAACATGTGATGTCTAATATCTTTTATGGTCTGAAAGGCCAATAGGTCTCATGGATAAGGAAGGATGTGTCCTCGTGGAGAACAATGGGACTGTCAGCTTGGATTGGATATTTTTGGCTCCTTATCGTCACCTATGGGCATAATTGATTCTAGAGGTTTTCCATTTAGTTTCAATTTCTCTTTATTGCTGTGCATTTCTATTTCTTTGATATTTGCAAATTTACTTGAGGTAGGTATTATTAATTTTTGTCATTGGCATTAGTGTGTATTTATTGACAATATTGATTGGGAACTGCAACTAGAGAAGCAACCAGAAAACTCCTCTTTGATGACTTGTTGAACAAAACTTAGTTGATGGGGTCTGTATTCATCAAACTTCTCTTATTTTGGTTATAAGGATGAGAACAATGATTAAGTTATCTGGAAATTCATAAATATAGAATGTCACATCTTGTATATATGTAAAAATATCTCCCTTTCTTTTGGCACTTAGCTTGAGAAAAAATTCAATCCTCATTCATCTTTCTTTCTTCCATCAAGGTATTTAATCACAACTAATTAGTTTCTGTTTCAGGCATACCTTTAGTGCTAAAGGTGAGAAGTTCCTCTAGAGAAATTGTGGCTGTTGTTCGGCCTGCCAATGCTGTTTCTTTTAGTGCTTCAAAGAAGTTGGACCAAAAGCACATTGTTAAGAATAATTAGAGATGATCATGGAAGTCGGATTCAGGTGAAAGGAAGAATCTTCAAAAGGGTATCAACATCTACGCAGCTGGTGTACCACTACTCTACAAAGGGGATCAAGGTTTAATATATTTGAATTGGGTGCAAGTTACCAAACTTCAGAATGTGGTATAGGTTTTCATTTCACTTGTAAGTGATACAAAAGATTCTTAGCTCTTTGTCGTTACAATATAATATGATATGTTCTTGTGTTTTATGATTATATAACTGTATGATGAAATTTTGTGCTTAGCCTCAGTCAAGTGTAAGAGTTATGTAGATAGGTGGTAGGTAAGGGATCTTCTAAGGTTGGAAATTGGGACTGTTGAGTTGTAAAAGAGCCCAGAGTTCTGTGTTAGGTAAGAAAACTTTTAACAAGTAGCTTATAAATTTTCTGTTCATGAAACTCACAATAAATTCTTTCCATCTTTTGGTTGAGTAGCTCATTCATACAAAATTTGAAGAACTTCGGGTAACATATTCTTCGCTAGTCTTAAGCATGAGTACAAAATAAGGGATGATAAGAGCCCAAATAAGTTATCAAGAGCTTCCTGTATTGCATAAGAATGAATTGCACAATTTCCCATCTAGGGTTTGTAGACAGACGAAAAGCAATTTTATGGCTCATTCCTAGAATTAAGTATGATACTCTTTATCACACTCAATCTCAATACACTCTCTAAATAGGATTAAAGACTAGAAAATCATCATCTTTGCATCTTTTAACCTGCATCACATGCGAGACTTTTAGCTTAATATTATCATTGGGCCTAAACTATAAGCTTAAACTTTTGGTTTAAGTAGTTACCTAATAATTCTATTACCTTTCACATCAATTGTCGTGCATATTTTTAGCTTCTTGGGAGTTCTTCCTCCTATATTTTTCCTAACTAGCATTTCTAATTAGACTTATAACCTTTTATATTCCCCTTTTCCCATAAAATGACCACTTTCCACATAGTTGGTTCATGCTTTCCACTTATCCATTGCTGCTATGACATCTATGATAATTGGATTCATTTGCATTTGTTACGGGGTGATAGGTCAAACTTATCTAGCAAGAGTGTGAATAACATGTAGACAAGTTCAAGATAGACGTTTAGCTGATAAATTGACTCTTAATATTGAGGTATGAGTTCACACATGAATATCTTTTATGTGCCCTTTTAAAGAAGTACCTCTTATTTAAATAGTGTTAATATGTTTTTGGTGTGTATTAGCTCCTTTTTTAATTTATCCTAATTCTACAGTTTATTCTTATTGAAAGCTATGAGTTGGACAAGATCCAACCACATTATGAGGCTACCTTGGTGATATCTTGATGAGACTAACAATACCTTGGTATATAGGAGGAAAAAAAAAGGGCGCAAACAGAGGATTGAGGGACTCAGGTAAGGCTTTGAGCATGATGGAGGGTTGTTTTGGGTTTATGGGAAAGTGACAAGTGGCAAATGTTGAGTGGCTGGGGAGCTGAATTCAGTTACAACAATAGAGCACGAAGAATAAAAGGCAACGGGAAGGATCTGTGGAGCAGGGAATTTTGAAGAGGGAAGGGATTTGGGGAGATGCTGGCTTTTGAAGTCCAGTGGGTTCTCATTGTTAGCAGAATCATCCTGGATGAGCTGCTTTTCTTATTTAATTGATTATTGCTTTATTTGAGTTGTAAAGAATTGTTATCTTAATAGAATTTACTTTGATCTGTCATTGAGTACAATTATCAAATTGTCCAGCATTGTTGTGTTCCATTGAGAGTAGTATTTTGGTTAGAATTTGTTGACTGAAAATTCTGGGTTGATAACTAGCAGAATTGAAATAATCTAGGAAGTGTCAGTGAGTTGAGCATGACAGAGGTAGGCTAGGTTTCTATCATATCTCCACAAGATGAATTGGCATCAGTTTCAATTCCATGTCAAGGTATTCCAGTGATTTTAACATATTTGCATCTAGAACCTGTTTTAATCTTTTTTCTAACATCATCTTGCCATTGTACTCATATGTAATATGATTTATATATATGTATCAGTTATTCCTAGATCTTTAAAGTATGTCACTATCCAATCACCAAATTTTAGGAACAATTTGCTTCTAGGTTCTATGGTTAAGCAGCTTAAATTTGAGGTATTTTGGGGATGTTATAATTTTCATGGTTAGACTTATTTTGGAAAATTTGTAATGTCTTATGATAGTAATTAAGTACATTGTCGATTAATGAAGCAAACTGGAGTGGTTGACAAATCATTAGTCTCAAAGATTAATCTTATAAAGGAGGGGCTTAGTTGAACTCAGTTTAAAGTTAATTCTTATATATTGACATCGTATATATTGTACTGGGAACACAATTGATTATACAGATGATTATTTGTTATTTGACAACCTAAGCATATCAACTGCATTAATGGGGTAGATTCCTTAATGCTGCATATGTTATTTCACAATGTATATTCATTTAACCTGTGGTACTTAGTGTATACCTATAATCTTTGATTTCAGTGCTGGAACATGATAATATTAATTTCCTTTTAGCATAATTAGAGATTTAGAACACTTTATGGACTATTGAGGTACTTCATCATAACATTTAAAGAAATAATTTTTTTTTTGGCTCAACCTGCAACAATCAAACAAATGTATTATCTAAGTTATATAATTGGAAACTTGTATGTCTTTTGAGAGTGGTTCAAGGCATACTTGCTAACCTATTTAACCATTCATTTCTTCTAGATGTTTGATACTTGTAGTAATCACATCAACAAAGGTTTGGAAGTTGAATTGAACTTGGATGGATTTCGATTTGAAGACCATTGGGCATAAAGCAAAAGGTCAAAATAATCCCTATATTAGGATTGTGTTTTTGACAGATAATTCATTCATCTCCTACACATTGGTTGTTTAATAACTGCTAATACAGTATGGGAGTTCTAATTTTCCTAATACAGTATGTCCCAACTCCCACTTTCCATTCACATTAGTGCATTTGAGACTGTATTGTGGGCTGATTAAGTTCATAATGCGTCTGTAACTTGGCCAAGCACTGGGCCATGTAATATTAAAAAAATTTAATCGTGTGCAATATAATGTAACAAAGACACCCTAAAGGCCCATCAGAAAGTATGTATGCCTAAATTAGTAATGTTCAAAAGTTCATAGAGTTAATGAAATTCATGTTCCCTTATACGACAATATGATGTGCATCAGCCTGTTCTTATTGTTTATCTGACATCTTATGCATGATAAGCTAATACTATAATTGTGCTTTAAGGTTCTATTGCATTTGGAGTTTACCATTTTTGTTTGTTACATGATCTGAATGTCTTAAAAAAGTTTGTAAACATAGGTGGACGATTATGGATGTGTTGACCTTAGTGGCCTTTTGAAAGTAACAGGTGGTGATGGAAAAAGTGGTATGATCTTAGTGACCTTAAATATTATTTTGGGGAAAATAAATTGGTTTATTCACTTGTAACATTCCTGTCTCCCCTCAATATCTGATTTTAATATATTTGATTTGTTAATTTTTCTTGCATTAAATTTACGATCAGTGCTTTTATGATGTAGGGATTGTCAAATAGGAGGACAAGTGCAACTAGTATAAATGCAGAAGGCTCACGCTCACATAGTGTTTTCACTTGTGTTGTTGAATCTCGATGCAAGGTAATAACTGTTGCAATTTAAAAATTAGTAGTTTTTCTTTAAATTATGAGTTACAGATTGCATAAAGTGTTTCTCTTAAAGGCATATTAATCTATGTCTATCTATTAGAATACTCTTTACGAGCTAAGCAATCTGATATTCTGTGCAGTTTTGCTCGTTATATTTGCTTCATTAACTTTGACATAAGAGTAGAATCTATTGACATGCAACAACAATAGAGTACTTGAATATCTTTGTTTTTTTCATGAGTTTTGTTTCATTTCATTGTGATCGATGTTTTCTGAGTTAAACTCTTGTGTCTTTTAGAGCAAGGCAGATGGTATAAGTAGGATTAAAACAAGTAGAATAAATCTTGTCGATCTAGCTGGGTCAAAAAGACAGAAATTAGCTAGTGCTGCCGGAGAACACGTGAAAAAAGTTGGAAATATTAATCGTTCTCTCTCACAGCTTGGGTATGTTTCCCATTAAGACCCACTGATTTTAAACCAGTTTTACCCATTGCCAAAGTTGACATCGGTGTGCAAACTTCTCAAAATGGTGAGATGCCAAAAGAAGATACATAATTATTCTTATGTAACCATTGCAAGAACAGAATGCAGCTAGATGTCAAAGAGGGGAATGAGAGCTCAAATCTTCAGTTGGTACCTTTTGTTGACTTACACTCTGCGGACAAATCATGAAGCAATCTGCAGTTCCAAAAGTAAGTATAATGATTTCAGCTGCATTTTGGATTAGTTTAACATCATGACTGCTTGCATTTACATGTTTCTTTTTCTCTTAGGCAGTGGAGAAGGTTTTGGTAGGAGCCATTAGGAGGGAAATGGCACTAGAGGACTTCTGTGCCAAGCAAACTTCTGAAATTAAGCACCTTAATCATTTGGTATGTTTTTTTACGAGTTTTACCAACAAATAGCAATGACTATATAATGCTTTCTTTTTCTTCTTTTTTTGTTTTTTCATTGGTGACATTTTTCTGCTTTTCTTTGCAGGTGCAACAGTACAAACATGAGAGAGAATGCAATGCCATTATAGGACAGACAAGGGAGGATAAAATTCTGCGCCTTGAAAGCCTTATCAATGGTGTTTTGCCAATTGAGGATTTCATGGAAGAATAATTTGTATACCTCATGCATGAGCATAAGGTATGTTAGAGCTAAAAAATATATTAGCCTAAGTTTTTGGTTACAAATCTACTTAACATAGTAGTAAAGCTAAACACTCACTTTCAAACCCCTACAAGTTTCACTTGTTTTCATTTTTCATATGTAATTTTATATTTATTTAGTTTGCATCTGTGTTTGCATCCATTTCACTATGAGATACGTGACGGGTATTATTGTAGCTTTTAAATACTTTTATTAGGTTGTTACTTATGAACTTAAGCTTTGAGGTAGAATGGTTACTTACCAAAGTATAAATTTATTTCTAAAGATACATTAATTTATATTTTGTGCATATATCTGACCTTATTTTTTACAGCTTCTAAAGGAAAAATGTGAGAATCATCCTGAAATTTTAAGGACAAAAATTGAACTCAATATAGTTCAAGAGCAACTGGAACATTATTAGAATTTCTGTGATTTGGATGAAAGGGAAGTGTTTTTGGAAGGGATTCAAGATTTAAGAAGCGAGTTACAATACTACATAGACTCTTCTTCATTATCTGCTCGAAAACAAAACTCAATTTTGCAATTGACTTATTCATGTGATCCCAATCTAGCCCCACCTCTGACTACAATCCCAGAGTCAGCCGAAAATAGTGCTGAGGAGAAAATTGAATGAGAAAGATTCCACTGGACTGAGGTAGAGAGCAAGTGGATATCTCTTGCAGAAGAATTGAGGATCAAACTTGAAGCTAGCAGGTCCTTAGCAGAAAAGCAAAAACAGGAACTTGATGCTAAAAAGCAATGTACAGAAGAGTTGAAGGAAGCAATGCAGATGGCTATGGAGGGACATGCACGCATGCTAGAACGGTGTGCAGATATTGAGGAAAAGCATATTCAATTGCTTACAAGGCACAGAAAGATTCAGGAAGGAATAGATGATGTTAAGAAAGCGGCTACTAGAACAGGAGTAATGGGTGCTGAATCTAAGTTCATAAATGCTCTTGCAGCTGAAATTTCAGCATTGAAAGCTGAAAAAGAGAAAGAGAGAAGATATCTCAGGGATGAGAATAAAGGGCTTCAAGCTCAATTGCGGGATATTGCTGAAGCTGTACAAGCCGCAACTGAAGTACTTGTACGACTCAGACAAGCAGAAGAAGCTGTTGCAGCTGCCCAGGTGTGCCGCCTCTTTTTGTTTTAAGGCCACTTATTTGTCTCCATGAGAGTGACACAGATTTTAGAACATGTAGGATTTTTGGTAGTCATGAATAGAATCCTCACTTGAGAGAAAGCTAACTGATCTTTGCTTATTCTCATATACATTTTTTGTAAATTGATTTAGATCCTTTAGTTTTTGTTTGACAGGCGTATAGACACTATTGTATATGAGCAATTGAGCTTGTCGTTTGGTTCATTCATAGTTAATTCATGAAGTTCTATACATTTTACATACACTGCTTCATTATTCATAGCCTTATTTATGATTATGGCTACGAAATATTAACTTTGCACGATTTTCTTTTTCTTATGAAACTCCTCTTCCCTGATACTGTACAGTGTGTACTAAGGATACCTGTCTTGGTTCATTCTTAGCTTGGATGTTAATCTCTCCACCGAAAGATCAGAATTACTATATAAGACATGATTTTAAGAACTTATTATTCCTTGTTGCTTATGGCTGCAACTTCTTTCAAAATATGGTTTGCATTAGTTTGTTGGACAATGATTTATTCTTAGTTATAACCTTAGCATGTTTTTACTTGTTGAATACTCCATATCAATTGGATAACTTCCCAGAAGAACTTTATTATCAATTTTCCACTTAAAATTATTGGATTTATATTTATATTTCTATTTCTAAATGACACATTTTATTTTATACTTTTTTCTATATTTCTTTTTTAAGAAGCAAGCTATAGAAGCTGAACAAGAAACTGCAAAGGCATACAAACTGATTGATCAATTGAAGAAAAAACATGAAATTGATATTAGGACTCTTAATGAAATCATAGTAGAGCCTCGTCTACCCAAAGAAGCAATACAACCTATTTATAATGATTCTGATGTGGCCAAGTACAATGTAAAAGAGCCTCATGACGAAGGTGATCAGCAATGGAGAGAGGAATTCAAGCTATTTTATATTGAAGACAGAGAGTTATCGAAACTCGCAGAACCCTCATCATGGTTCTCTGGTTATGATCGATGCAATATATAGAGATGGAACTCGTCAAAAAATCAATATGTGTATTACTATATAGTTATGTTATATAGCTTCAAAATTGTTGCATTTTTTATATGTTCATCCCAATTATGAGGATCAGTGTCTTGGTTGGTTCTCTTACTGTGAATTTTTATTTCAATTTTAGATTTTGTAGTTCATTATAATTGAATGAATTATTATATTGTTTATTCTTCTATATTTGCTGGAACATATCCTTTTCCAACTTATCTTATAGGCAACCCAAATTGAACTAGCTTTCACATTTTTTATTGCATGTATTGCTGGTAAATAAAATAAGGGTTTCAGCAGAGGTGTAATGGATATGGTGGAACCAAAGTTGTAGTAACAAAGGGAGAATAGCAAGATGTTAAGAAAATAGAGGTAATTTATTTGTTTGGTTTGAGTGTCAAGAAGATGGGGAGCAATGTTGAAGTAGATGAGAGAAGTATTTTATTGTCCCACTTTGGGTCATGAAGCCCATAAAACAAGAAGCTTGTGGGGCCTTGTCTTCTGACATCTATCTATTTTCTACCTATAGACCATTTCTAAACCACAACTAGTCTGCCTAGACAATTTTGGGGATGAAATTAGAATGAAAAAAAGTAGGCTTCTAAAACCCTAGTCATACATTATCCTATTGGGAAAATAAAGAGCAAAGAGGAAAATGGGTTTGAAAGTAACATTTAGATGTAGGGAGAAGTAGGGTTGGGAAAACAGGTTAGTGTGTTATTTGTGTCATGTCAAATAAGCCTTAACTCGAAATTATAGTAGTAAATTAAATAAGATGAAGTTACATAAGTAGACCATCAAGGCATAATGAAAGTCGAAATCCAATGGGGAGTGAAGTATCCTATGCAGTAATAAAATGTCTTCACTTTGATTGCTAAAACCATTTGATTTTGACAATTATAGTTTTTGCTTCTCATATGCCATGGAGGATTTTCTGGAGTTATGACAAGATTCCTTTGAGTGTCTTCGTGGATCAATTAAGGCTGAGAAGCATTTTGCTCCCATAAGAAATTTTGGTGCACCATCAACTATAGGGAGGTTCAATTTTTAAGTTCATGGAAATGATGCTTTTTGAAAGCAATTTTTCGTTTTTGGGCTCCAATGTTGTATGAAACATAATATTCTCTCTTTTTTAATTTAAATGTCAATTTTCTAGTTTTAATTTTTGCTTCAGGTCATTTTCTATGAGTAAGAATGGACTCCCGAAGTAGACAGAGAAGCTCTGTAGTAGGCACATCGGACTTATCTCTTTGGACACTTACAAAGGAGACAATTCTATTTCTAAGAAGTCGGGTGGACTCATCCTAATCTTGTTTTCTCTTTCTTGAAGAGGTTTGTGTATAGATTTATGTGCTTGATGATGACCTTCATTCTAAATGCTTCTTCTTAACCATTTAGTTCCATATGGGAATTTGGAGTTTTCAGATGACTATTTAATGGCAATTTGTTGATTTTGAACTTCAAAGTTCCAACTAAAAGATCAATACGATGTGATACAGAAAAGCAATCGGTTGCATAAAGTTTTAAGTTTTTAATCATTAAATCAGTAAATATTAATTGACTAAAATTTTGAACAACATGCAGATATTGTATCGTGTCTCTTGTCACTGCTCTCACTTAATGCACCTTGTTTCTCTTCTTATAGATTATCAGTGCTCTTGATTTTTAATCTTTTTATTTTGTTTTTGTGTCTATGTAATAGAACCATTCTTACCCCTATCCTGGTATTGAGCCTAAACCATTTGAAGAAGGTGAATACCTGGTTCAAACATTTTTTTCATCTCAATTTGGTAGACAAAGGATGTGGGTGTTTGCAGTCTATTTGTGTTGTCTGCTTGGAATAAGAAAAACTTTTGTTGCTTATGTGTCTGCAATTTGTATTTGCCTTACTTTCTTGTTACATTGTGTACTTCCAACCAAAATGTTGTTTCAATTGACTTCTTGATCAGGCTAATGGTGAAGCTGAAATTTTGGACCAAATATTTTAAAAGTTGTATTTTTCTAGGCATCGTGTTCTCATTGCCCAGATGACCCATATGCTTGATATTTTATAGGTTTGCTTCCAAGTCTAAATGATGTTAAAATTTATATTTATATGTTCAGCTTAAGTGCTGAAGTTAGTTGATTTTGACAACTATAGTTACTGCTTTTCACATGCAAATAGGAGTCTTTGGAGTTACGAAAGTATTCCAACGATCGTCTTGATGGATGAATTTCGGTTGAGCAGCATTTTGCTTCTATAAAATATTTCAATATGTTGAAGTGTAAAATATTGTAAAATAGGAAATAGGATTATTCTCACTAAAGACTATCTTCTATATTACGTTAGGATCAAAGCTATTAAAAATTGTATTAGTTATAATAGGAATGTAACAATTTACTTCCTAGATTAGTTTTTTGTTTTTTGCTATAAATTACTTGTACATTTGATTGTGAAATATGTAACAAAAAAAAGTATTTCTTCACATGGTATCAGAGCAAGGTCTCTGAAGTTATAATTTTTTTTTTCAGCGACTGCTCTCCAACAACGATCAGGATCTAGTGTAATCATACCAGACTGATCGTCTTCTCATCGTCATCATAACCCAAGTGGTTTCGTTGTTGGTCGCCGCTGCACGCACCAATCTAGTTTCTGATAGCCTCTACTCTGATCTGCTTTTTCGGCGAGCGTGAGATCTTACCGCCACCAACATCTTGTTCCTCTCCACCTCACCGTCAAAACCCTTCAAGGAATTTTCATCAGTTTCTGGTCCGATCTGTTTTTCCGACAAGCATTCTTTTTTTCCAGCGAGCGTGAGCTTCTGTTTTTCTATCAAATTCAAGACACCCTGATCTTTTTCATGGATCCCCCTAAATCAGCCTCTCAGTCACATCCAAGTGGTTTTTCTTTTTTATCTCTCCGTCCCATCACCATTGAGAGATTAATTGGGATTGCTAATTATTCATCCTAGGCCGCCTCTGTCGAATTATGGTGTATGGGTCAAGGTCTGAAGGATCACTTCACCACCAAGGCTGCCGATATTACATCAGATAAGTCTTCCTGGACTAAAATTGATGATATGTTGTGTAGTATGTTATGGCAAACTATTGATCCCCCTCTTCATCCTATTTATAAATCTTACCGCTCTTGTGTTGATATTTGGAGTCAGGCTAAACTTCTCTATACAAATGACATTCAACGTTTATATTCTGTTGTGTCCAACTTAGTTCATCTCAAACAACAAGATATGAATATGTCAGACTTCCTTGCTAAGATGGCCTCCCTTAAGATAGAATTCAATCTACTATTACCAGTTGGTAAATCTATGGCAGAAGATTTGGCTCAATGGGACAAGTTCTTTATGGTCCTGACACTTGCATCTCTAGGTCCAGATCTTACACCTGTTTGAGATCAAATCTTTTCTAGATCTAGTGTGCCTTCCCTTGATGAAGTGTTTCCTCGATTACTTCATGTTTCCTCCCCTACTACAGTGCATGACTCTTCGGTTCTTGTTTCTCAGTCCCACACTTTTACTAAAAGAGAACAGGGTGATCAAGGTGGTAGAGGAAATCGACCCAAGTGTAGTTACTGTCATCGGTGGGGGCATACCAGAGAGAAATGTTTTAAGTTACATAGTCGACCTACTTGGGCTGCTAATATTGCTTAGGTTGATCACTCTGATCTTCATTCTGAGTCCTCTATAGTGAAGGTTCAGCCCTCCTTAACTCTCACATGTATTGATTATGATGAATACTTACAATATCAGGCCAGTAAGCAGTCTTCTTCATCCATTGCCTCCGTTGCTCAAACAGGTAATTTAGTTGCCTGCCTTACTCAGTCTTCTGCTCTAGGACCTTGGGTCCTGGATTCAGATGCCTTTGATCATATTACTAGTAACCCTCGTTTACTTTCTCAGATTACAAATACTACATCTTTACCCCCTGTTACTTTAGCTAATGGGTCTAAAGCCGATGTTCAAGCTATTGGTTATGCAAAACCCTTCCCTTCCTTAGAATTAAACTCTGTGCTTTATATTCCCTACTGTCCCTTTAATCTCGTGTCTGTCAGTAAACTTACACGCTCTTTAAATTTCTCTATTCATTTTGATACTGACTTTGTTGTTATACAAGACTGCGACACGGGATGGATGATTGGCATAGTACATGAGTCACAGGTTCTCTATCATCTCCATATCCCATCTACAACATGCACTGCCTCCGAGTCTCTAGATCTCCTTCATAATCGTTTAGGCCATCCTAGTCTTTCCAAACTTCAGAAAATGACCCCAGGTCTATCTAAATTATCGTCCTTGAGTTGTGAGTCACATCAACTTGGAAAGCATACTCGTAATTCTTTTCCAAAGCGTGTCAATAAACGGGCTGCATCCCCCTTTGAGTTAGTGCATTCAGATATATGGGGTCCTTGTTGTGGTACCTCTAATTTGGGATTTAAATATTTTGTTACCTTTATTAATGACTATTCCCGTTTCACTTGGTTATTTCTAATGAGATCTCGTTCTGAATTATTTTCCATATTTTCATCATTTTGTGCTAAAATTAAGACTCGACATAATACTAACATTCGTGTATAACGGAGTGATAATGCTCGAGAATATTTCTTTGATTCCTTTACTAAATTTATGTCATCTCAGGGAATTCTACATCAGTCTTCTTGTGTTTATAGTCCCCAACAGAATGGCATTGCTAAGCGTAAAAATAGACACCTCATTGAAACTGCTCGCACTCTTCTTTTACATAGCCACGTCCCTTTCTGTTTTTGGCCTGATGCTATTCTAACCGCTTGTTACTTAATAAATCGCATGCCTTCTTCTGTCTTACAAGACCAGGTCCCACACTCCATATTATTCCCTAATCATCCATTATTTTCTCTTCCCCCACGTGTCTTTGGGAGCACCTGTTTTGTTCACATTTTCTCTCCTGATCGGGATAAACTATCAGCCAAGTCTACGAAGTGTATTTTCTTAAGGTATTCACGTCTTCAGAAG